CTATTGAGCAGCAACGAATTCAAGAGAGGCTTGGTGATGTGACAGCGCAAGCAAATGCGATTCAAGCAAAAATTCGGGAAACTGGTGAGAATTCCGAAGTTCCCAGTTGTTATCTGTTCATTATTCCAAAAAGGAGAGCTTTCAGAGCAGGGTAGTTCGGAGGAACAAACGCTGCTAGAAACTTATATGAATCTCACGAACGAGAAGAATTCGTTGGTTGGGCGTCAAGAGTACTACAACATCATAGAAAATATAAGGTAAATCTGGCAACGAACTTTATGATGGCAAAAGTTCTAAAATAATTTGCAGAGAAGCCAGTCGTCATATTGCCGATCTCAATCAAGAGCTCGATAGCATGACGAAGAATGCCCGTGATGGTGAGCTATAATGGCTAAGTCGTTTGATCGCAACTCTTAAATTTGTAAAATATTCCAAGCTCAGTATTTTTGAGAATTTAGTTTGAACTGAGATTTAAAACTATGACCCTATAAACATATAGTGTTCTTCTTACGACAGGATTACGGCAAAGTTGTAGGTTAGTAATGCTGTAGAGCAGAGTTGTTATTGGTCCAAAATAGTCGGATAAGTTGGTGTTTCATTTTTCAAACTCAAAAAGACTACGTGATTTTCATGACCAGGACGTCGGTCTATCTACCATAGTTATACATTATCAATCTGTAATGTGAAATAGTTATGATTTCGTATTTTGCATGTCAAATTGCGAGTAGGCAATGTCTAATTAGACCATAAAAAACAAGTGTCTGAAAACTCTATAGGTCTCATCACATCTCATTTCTGCGACGTCTATACCAATTGAAATTCAGTTCACTTAGAAAACCGAGCATATCATCTTGTAGGGCGACATTTCATCTTTCAAATAACGTTAGTCAAAGCTTTTTTGTTGAAGTTTTAAATTTGAAGAAAAATTCGGACCTAGTATCCGCCAAGTATAGGAGCTTGTTTACTGAGTACGCTGAGTCAATGTATGATGTCGATTTGATACCTTGAATTTAACCAAAATTACGGTTAGTCTGCTCGGCCTCACACAGCTTCATCGCATATCCTTACCGAATGGAGAGACTCCGTTTATAGGCGGAGATATAAGCTCATTTAAGACCTTAAACTCAGATGATTGATTTCAAAGGGAACTTTGGGGATGAAAGAGTCGTTAGCGAGCAGGCATCACATTTTTGGAACATTCTTCATGACTCAAAAGACTGCTGTGAAATTATTGCTTAAAAATTCTTCCTGATTTGCAACTGAGTGAAATTCTAAGCTATTTATGAATTTACTCTTGCTGTATTCATTAAAGACCACTATAAAAAATGTAAATTACAATGCAGACATCAGCTCGAATTAGGTGCTGAACAAAAAAAATCCATTGTATATCTTACATTATAGTTTTTCATGCTTGTCGACCGGGCTATGTCATAATTTGAAAAATTGAACACATTTAATGAGTGTACTTATCTGCAAAACATATATATTTTACGACTAGATCTTCTCTATTAAACATGAGAAAGAGTATGGAAGCATTTGTTTATACCCAGCAGATTTTTGTTTAAACCTTTATCAGCACTAGCCATTTTTATAGCATCCATGTAAAGTTTTAGTCTTCTAGATGGAAAGATTCCCTATAACGTAACAAGCGAAGGGTTACTTGGTGGGACTATCTACGCAAATTATCATAATGCGAAGTTAGCTGGGTAGCTGAAGTGGGTTGTTTAAATTCGGTTGAGTTTACTTCTAATTCCCGGGCTTCTCTCAAGCGGGAAGAATACTATAATTTGCGTGGTACAAATTTGCGAATTTGCCTTGTCTTCCCCTTCTATATCTGTATCGTAAAACTATCGTCATGGTTTATGCTACCTATGATTTTGTGATTGTAAGGTCATTGTTTTGCATTCAGACTACTTCAAAACGGCTGAAGAGAAGGACCGCACTGACGAGCTTATGGAATCGTATATGGAGGCAATACAAAAGAAAGACGATCTTATACAAAAGCTATTTGCAACAGAGGAGCAGTTGTGAGATACAAATTTTGCTAAGGTCTTTTTTTAAACTTCACTTGTCTTTTGTAGGCAAGAGGATGAGAATCGGCTCAAATCTTTAACACTCGAAAGAGCGAGCAATTTTGTACGTGGAAACGACGAGCCTCTCACAGCTAGTCGAAGAATCTTAACTTGGTTGAGAGGATAAATAGACGTTATTTACTTGCTTCTTAGCAAACTTTTCTAGAAGAGAAAAATAAGTTTTGCAGGCAATTTTCGAACTCTTTACAGTGCTTGTTGAGCTTTATCCTTGTTCGCTCCTATTCTCCCTCTCATGCGGTTACCATTGTTCCATAAATCGTTTTCCGTACTGTTCGGTCTGGAAGAACTCTTTTATACAATTGCTGTAGTAATTGATATCAGTTGCCATCCAGATTGCCCACTTTTCCACTAATTATCTATTTGTGATCATAGCGCTTATCGTCTCTTTTTATTTCTCGATTTTTTCCTTTCAAACTGTTGTTTCTTCAACTTGAACTAGTCAGTTTTTCAATTACAGAAATTTACATGTTAAAACATTAAGCATTTTTGTATGTAGGTACAAAGTTTATTGAAGTTATCGTATGTGTATATAGAGTTTACCTTATAACGCGGTGCGTTAAACAACAGGAATGTGCTCCTTTCATGCAATGATGTTTGAAAAGCTTTCTTACATAAACTCGGTTTTATCTTTTTTCATATTACTACGCTAACATGTAGGGCCACACTATTCATTACATCCAAGGAGAAAACTGCTTGCATCCAGAGAGCGAAATTCTTTCTAGCATCTGAATGGTCAAGTACAATCATCTTCACTGGGAAAACTCCAGTCTGTGTGGAGTCTAAGGAAAAAAGCTGTGACGAAACCTTTTTACACAAATAGCTACCTCTCTTAAAATGAAACTGTGAATAATGAGAGTAATACTATCATTGATTTAACTTGTTCATGTTTTATAAATTTTGGCGTGGTTGCAGACCGTTAGACGACCTTATAGGCATCGTACCCATAACTGTCTGTATATTAGTAATTTTTTGGAAACAAGAAGAAGCACTGTTTTGATCCA